ACGATTTCACTGCCTTTTCTGGGAGATGCACCAAGCATTCCTGAGCCTCCGCTGCAACCCTGGTAAACCGATTAAATTATGCCGTAAAACTCGGCGCACCTTTGTGTCATGAGGAATCATCTACGCCCATTGACGCGATACATAAATAAAGGTTAACTCCTGCTCAAACTAAATAACGATCGCATTGAGGGAGTATTCCTTGTGACCCTCAGTCGTAAGCAGCCCTTCCTCAAAATGTACGACTCGAATAAAGGCATGAACAGTGTATGAGAACACTCGGTTTGTAAAACGCAAATATTGGTATCCTACAATTCCGGAAGACTACTCGAATACTAAATGAAACTGCAAAATCATCTTGTCCATATCGGGTTATGCAAAGCGAGCTTTAGTCTAATCTTTATCTGTAGCTTGAGAAATCCTTCTGTCGACCTGGGTACTAAGCCTAGCATGGACACATTTGAAAGCATTTTTCGCAGAGCTTCAGCAACCGACGTTGCGACCTTCGCAGTCAGCATTTTCCTTGGCATGGTTTCCATCTAGACAGAATACGACATTTGTAGCGTACGTTTTGCTGGTTTCAATGACATCTTTGAATGAAGGGTAATACTCAGTTTATCTGAGCGCCTCAAATTACAATTAATTTACTACAAGAAATATGGGCGACATGAAAGATACAGACTTATGAAAACGATCAATATAACACTTTCGGGAGGATCGAAAATTGCTTAAAACTGACTAACCACCTTCATCTGCCTCTGAGTGCTGTTTTGTTCCGGCTAACAGACGAAACCAGAAATGCACAGTCGAAAACGCCACCATAACAGGCCTTCCATGGAACAACCACCTAAGCCGCCATATTCCAGTCAGAGCCTTTCATGTCGCCTGATGACCGGAGTTAGGATTTAGAGTTATCAGATACAGTCGTACCTTCAGCTTTGAAAATGGAGAGGCAGATTCGCAATCTCGGCACCGGACACCCTAGAACTATCAAATTTTCTGCCTCGCCATCAACTGCTGACGTACAGAAAATTATTGAGAAAACCGTTGTTGTGCCTGTATCAAAGATAGTACACTTTCGTGCACGGTCTATCAACGATTACCATAGTTAACGCTAGATCACTAGACGAACTTGACTGCACATACATACTGCATAATGTTCAGCTCTTCTTTTATCACGACAGAACATTCCTCAGTCCGTTCTGTTGAAAATTTTGCAGCATGAAAGATTTTGTGTTTGAGCCGAATATCCATGCTCATTTCAACTTTCGTTGGAACAGTTTAAAAAGTTCAAAGCCACGTACCTTCAGGACCGATTCTCATCGCATTTGCGTGAACTTGCGATGAGTCGCTATGATCACTTCGCAGTTTTACTAGTTGTTACAGGAAGACCAGGAGATGCTGAGCGATGAGGCCGCCAGAGGAGGGAGCATTCTGGTCTTTCTTATCAGAAATATATACTCTTTTTCTAGCCTCGAGCAGGCTTGAGATAACGAAGTGACTGCGATACGGTAAAGTAGAGGGCTTTCTATGTACAAAAACATTTGCATACTCGTCCAGCACAGTCGAAGTGTTAGAAGAAAGGGTGATTTGCATGAACGCCCTGCATAGAATTTAACATTATCAGAAGATGATTTGTAGGAATGCGAGTACGACTGCACTCGAACGAGGCTCGTCAGCAGCATCACTGGCGCCACATTTGCATTTGCGGTCATAGTCTTGTGTTGTTACCGCCATGAAACGGCTCGTATTTCAAATTTCATACGATATCACAAAAAATTTTGGCGCTTGCAGTAGCGAGAAATCTGCAACGGCAATTTCACACTTCGAAAGCGAATAAAATCGCAGAAATGCAGTAGTTAAACGAGGATGTAAAAAGGAAAACCACACAAACAGGTTATACGAGAACGCTATGTAGCCATATTCTGGGCGCAGCAACAGTGCCAATGGTAAAACTCATGTCATGGAGGCCTCGATGATCACTAGCGCATCTGAGAATATCGGTGAACCGTCTTAATATAACTAGCGCTACTCTAAAGGAACAAGAATAGTGTAAACGTGGTTGCTATAACTGAATATCAGCTTATCTATCAATAAGATTCAACGGCATAACTTCTCGGGTAGCGGAAGCAGCAGCGTCAAACAATGTTCACAGCATTCTCCATCCCATGCTTCACATTTCCCGAAGAGAAGCCGAAGCTTGAGCAAAGTCTGTCGAAACACCTGATACAGATATTTCCTGACCTTCAACGGGTTGTACGACCAGTCGATAGAGCAGACAGAAACTGTTTTGCTTTCCACTTTCAGTAATAATCCGTTACTTACTAATGACCAAAAATGAGCATGTGGATGAAAATCGACTTGAACACAGAAAGTCATTTTCTACACGATCAGCCCTACCATTGTCGGAATAGTCCACTAAAAATGCCAGTGGCAACTTTATTATCCGGTTGATCTCTTTCATTTTCCATTACCGATGAATACGACCAACAAGAACGTCATACAACGATTCCACTGCTCTTCTGTTCATGGGCGGAGGAAAGGAAAGCACAATATTAATTAGCAGTGAAACAATAATATTATTCACTAGCTGTAGCTGCGCGTTAATATTGACAACCTACTGCGCTGACAGCCAAGTCCCTATTTACATTTCAAGAAGTAACAAAGCGGAAAAATCCTACATGAAAGATAGATAACAACCTCATGGATTGAACTTTCTACTGTTGACTGCTGTTGATCCCAAAAGCATAAACAACGGTTATCTAGGCACAACTGGTCATGTAACGGCCTTAGACAAACTACCTGCTGTAGACGATACGCACAATGAGGAAATATGGTCAACTGACATACCTCTTGAAGGCGATGAACATCATAAAAGAAGGTATTTCAGCGCATCACAGGTTTCACCGTTCTTCGTCGCCGAATCAGCATACATTGTCGATAACATTTTAAAACGCAATTTGTCTTTACTGCGAGATGTCATTGACATTGCTTTTCAAAAAAAAAACCTGCAGTTTTGGACAAACCGTGGCCTTCAACGTGTGCCTAAATTATCTAAACGAAAAGGAGCTTTGAAAGTTAATAACTGGAAAAAAGCTGAAGCCTACCGACCCTTCATTGCATTATATGCCCATAGTACGGTTGGAACTATTTTCTGAACCGAGCAATGCAATCAAGGAGATACCGAGTCTTCTGTAAATTCAATAATGAGCAGAGGGAGTTTGGGCAACACTGCGCCCTTCGTCAAATTCAGGTCATTCGATGCCAATCCTGTGAACACTTTCAAGCGTTTCTAACCTCCGGCGCAGTATATCACCGAAGTGACTGACGAACGTAGGGATACAAAAACTGCGTAACGGTTTCAAGAGCGTTTTGTTCTATTGCAGTTGTATCTCAAAAATTATCAACTTATAGATCACTGTTCGTGAATAGAAGGGAATTTCATGCAGTTAATTTAAGACTTGATTATGCGCCTTTCAGGGTCGTAGAATGTGCAAATATACAGAATGTCTTTTTACAAAATATCTGTCAGAGTGGACTGGGTATCAAGGAAAATTCGAAAGAGCGTTTCGAGTCTACAACTGCCGCATCGCAACATGTCACGCAGGAAGAGGTGAATCTGAAAGACGTTAGAATTAGCGTAAATAATGAGGAAAAGTGGAATTGATATTTCCAAAACAGATCTAAGCGGCACCGGTAAAACTTTATACAGCGGTGGAAGGTCATCTGTTGAAATAAGTGCAATTAATGAGCGAAACAACTCAGGTCGAACAACTCGGGTTGCTGGGATATTTTTTATGTTTATTACGCTTTGGACGCAACCGTTTCTGTACCAAATCGACAGCTAAGCGGGACAGAGAATAACATCAGAAGGTGTAACACCCTTCGTCATAGAGTCCAACTAGACGTACATATTGATCTTTTATAGCAGTTTGGACGTCTACCGACGTTTCGACTAACGGCTCTTCTACAGACTGCAGAACAATAAAACTCGTTTTGGGAGAGAAAGAAGAAACCATAAATAACGAATTTAAATAGCCTGTCGAAATTCTTTTCTCACCATGACAGAAGCAAACAACAGGAAAAGTTTTAATTTGATTAGCACTTCTCAAAGAAATGCCAGATTCTTAAACAACAAAGCATTGCTCACTCAGTACCATGCCGGAAAGACGATTTACCGTAGTACACTCGATTTTGCAAAATAGTTTACGTCGTAGAACTTGTCACCGGTGACGGGTCGAACACAGAAACCGTGACGGAATTTTAATGGAGTGACCCAACGCACTTCGCCACAAGCTAAATGTCATAATCAAACACCCGAGATCATGACAATACGGTTGGCACTGCCAGAAATCCGCATAAAATCAAACAAATACATTTTTAGTGATTCTACGTGGCAGTAAAAAGAAGAACAACAACTAGACTAGACAAACAAACGGGTATACCAGTCGCGCCGTGGAATACTCATATAAGACGGCCATAAAACAGCCACTGGCAATGATTAATTTATCTTCTAAGGATTACTTCACCTTTAGCACTCAAACAGGAATTCATACCCGGCTTACCTTTACTGGACATATAAAAAGCATATATTTCTACCTAGCTGTGTGAGTTATGTTACCAAATATTTATCAACTGACAAACTGTATCTTCAGACTTGAACCATTAAATGTAATATTTTGGGAACCTTTGCCATACAGGGGTACTTCAAAAATCAATTATGAATATTACTTTTGACTCAGCTGTAAATGATATTCCGGCAATGTCCTTCACTCCGTTTGACACACCACCTATAATGCCTTTCAGGAATCGCGTTGCCCTTCCATGATGATACAATCTGGACTATCAGCGAAATTATTAGCAGTGACCTATAAAAAATATTGCGAGACAGATAAACGTAAGGAAGCGATATGGAAAGCATACTTCTCTTTTCTCTGGAACAGGAAGACTTCCTCAAAACACCTTGTATTTAGTTTACAGTTATTCTGGACTTTTCACGAACAGGAACCAACTCTAAATCGTTTCGCAGTGTTTTCTTACGTTATATATCTGATAACAAACGGCAGAGCATGTATGATGGAAGAAAAAAAATTAGTCAGCATACCAAAAGTTTCGTAAATGGATTTCGACCGACGCTCTGTCTTAGCACAAGCAAAAACTCTAGTAAGTAGCAGATGCACTGATAATAAATTGAGTTTCAAAATGCCGGGATGCATGCAGTTTAGCTTTATCAGTACGACACAAACGTCATTCTTCCGTGACAAAAAAACAATCAATATTCCATGCTCCTGATAGCTGCTCACTACAGGATAGCAGAAAACTTTTTTCAACAAAATTTAAATATTCAATGTTAAACTAACATAAACATTTGGACTACCGAATCTTCCGGTTACGGCGAAAAGAACCATTTAAGTTTGTTGAGGCTTAGAGTCTACGAGAGTTCGAGTCACTTCATCATTATGTGAAAAGATTTTGAATTTTTAGCGTGCCTAGACCAGCGCAACAACAAATACGATGGCACAATTACGCAGACTTACTTATTATCTATTTTTTACTTAACTCTTCAAGTAGGTTAGAGATTTAGTGGCTTTCTTAAAGAAAATAAAACTGATTTACCGCTGGAAGATCAAAGATTCGAGAACCATTGTCCACGAACTGTTATTCTAAAGCAAATATTTTTAGAGTTTAATTTATATGAAGGTACAAACGATTTTGTGTAAGGAATTTGATTCGGATTACTGCAAGTTCCCTAATATTGTTGTTTCTTCCGAAACACTTGAAAAAATATTTGTGAAATTGAATATTGCTTCCTCTATTTAAGTGAGGTATCGTTCCTGAAATTCGCCTAGGTATCTCTGGTGCTCAATATGGAAGAGTAACAAGAAAAAAGGCAAAAGCAAAAATAGCTTCTTTTTAGTGAGATCTCAAGCAACCGACGAAATTAGGAGTTTTCTGAATTAAGGCGCACACTTCCTATGGGTGTACTCGTTAACATGAATGAATTCTCTAAATAATTCGTTAGAATAACACGTACCTTCGTAAAACAAGACTTTAAAGGCAACGCCTGAGAAAGTTTAAATTCCGGCACTTAGTGTAGGCTTCAGTGAGATCAGGGACGTGGCCATAACCTAAAGTTAAAAAGTATTAGTATAAACCAAAAGCTACAAACAATATTACTGCAGGATCCATCGTACAGATCATATCTTGCTTAGCCATCCAAAAAGACACTTCATTTGATACACAAATGCAAATTGCTTTTCTGACCTAAAGTCAGTGAGACAAACGATGCGAAACGGTTACTTCTCACAAAACTAAAACCAAGGATTTATTTATCAACTGCATATCAGTTTCATAGATCATTCGTACCTTATTCCATGACTACATATTATTCGAAAAGATAAATGACATATTTCACAAAATCCCATAACAGAAAATTGTTCGCAGGCATAGAAACGATGGACTGCTTCTTTGGTTGATCTCCGTGAGAGAAAGGAGATGAGCTTATCGAAGACCAATTTCACCATGCCTTTCTCCATGTCGTCTTCACCCACGGATGCCTTAAAGTTGGGAATCTTTCTTCGTGGATGCGAAATATGCACCATACAGGTGTGCCTGACGAAAATAGTATCTTTGCGTTTCCGCATTTAGGTAGCAACTTTAGAATCTTCTACAAAGTGAGCCTAAGATCCAGCAGTCGAAGAAACATATCAAACAACCAGGTAAATAAAAAATCATCTTTAGAATTTATATCAGTACCACGCTCCAACACTAGTAGCAAAAAACAAAAAATATCTTCAACAAACACACAGGTAGCAAGCATTTTAAAGGAATAGGCTTTGGCCGTTATTCGATTACACAAATAACGTATAATAAACTACAAAACTTTTTATATACAATGTCAAAAATCGATCAAATTACAGAACACCATAAAACTGCAACAATCGACAATACAGTGATATGCAGATTATAGAACCGGGGTGTATCATAAACCACATATAGTTTATCCTACATTCCATACCATGTACAACATAATATGGAAACAAGCAGAATCACAAGAGGAAAAGCTGCTTTTACGAATACACAAATGCACAAAACAATATGACAATTTCGTGGATGGCGATTTTTTCGGTTTATAACTTGTGCACTGATTGTCGTAGTGGAGAATCAGCCATCAGACAGGTCAACAGCGAACAAGGCCTGCTGGTATATCAGGCCAGAGAGTGTAAGGGCGACAGGCAGTGGTACCTGATGCCATCACCTGTGCTGCATTTCGCCTAGACCCATACGATCTCTTGAATAAAAACGAGAACCGCGTGTCAGCTACAGAGTGTAAAAAATTGAAGTCAACAGCATTAAAATCGTTATCTTCGTCGTCAACTTAGCTACACATCACTAGTGCTGTTATTATCTACTGAAATTATCACAGGGATAACAGACCTTGTTAACCTTAGCTTCAGCTTAGCCGCGTGAAAGAAGCCTCGCCATTTGCCAATGGCTGATAAGCAAAGAAGTCAATAGACGAACCGGCTTATATCAAAAGGAAACCTTAAACGATATGGGTGAGGGAGACGTTCTTCGATGGGTGGAATGTAAGGAAAAAGTCGCGCAAGAATTGATGGCCATAAAACACCAGGCGTTGAACCAAGCTGCAGCGTGCAAGGTATCAACTAGGCGTCCATATAATGAACCAATAACTACGGTTAGCTTCCAATTTTTCTACTTGGCGTTGCTATGAACCATAAGCATGTGCGGCTTCGTGATAATAAATGGACTGCGAAAAAGTAAGATGTGACTGGAACCCACGACATACTTTACCGAATGGTTGAAAATGCTCTCCATATAAAGATATCATCACTTAGGCCTAAATCTCGGGGCAGAGTATGCTTCTTCTAAGCAGATCCTTGTTAAACGTATAAAAATAAACATAATCTCATGACTATAATTAATTCGAATAATGTTTCTTAATCGGCTGCTTCTGTTTAACTGATCCCTTGCCCAAACAACAACAGCTCGCTCTATTAAAAGTAAACCAACGAATTTAGCCGACTCTGAAGAAAGAGTAAGGAAGTTAAAGCAATTCGGGGTTTCATCACGACTAAAATCCAGTCAACAACAAAGGGATAACAGGACAACAGAGTTCGAGCGACGGTAAATATTTCTGTCAATCATTAAGGCGTACCGCTTTTTCTTTGTGTCAGACAAAAATATGGAATCATGATCACAATAGCCAATATGATAAGAGATCATAGTCCAACCAGTGACCATATCAAACATTAGGCAACGAGCCCCGTCTGAAAATCGCTTCCGTCATCACCACATCGCCTTTGAAGCAGCTACGCTATCGGCAAATGGGATGACAAGCAAACACGTATATGGTCTCACTCTCACTCAACGGACGAAGAGCAACGTATAGTGAACAATAAATTAGAACAAATGCAACGTTGACAACAGTGAATAATCAATTTTGAAACTTTTAATATAGAGTTTAAAGCGATTCTTAAATCCTAAAATCTATCAAATCACA